TTATGCACACCAGACTACCGACTGCCCCCCCCCCCCCCCCACATACACATACAGAGAGTGATGTATGGAAAATGGAAGTTACCTGTACCTGTTTTTTTCCCTCCACCTCCATATTTTCCATATCTACCCTTCTCAGTTCTCACCCTGCTGTCTCTTTTTCTTAACCTATGGATGACAACTATTTATCATTTTTCTCATGCTCTTATATTGTGAGTCACAGAATGTCAAAATGTGTTGTTAAAGTCTTGAAATGTCAGAATTGTCATTTCAGAGGTTACAGGATATGGTGCACATTGTGAATATCATATGCAGTTAGATTACAAATTATAATGTGTTTCATACTGATAAATTAGCTTTAATAGCAATGGTGTGCAAATAATGTTTCCTTTTTCACAATTAGAGTGTAAGCTTTTGTGGATGCTCCTACCCATAAGTAGACTGTGTTTTTCCTTTCACCAAATATTATTTGTGTCTTTAAATGTATGTGCCACCTTTCTGGATAGGCTACTAAGATGTTGGGTAAATTTAATTATTTTGACTCCCCTGTAGTCAAATGTGTTTCTTTTCACCAAATATTATTTGTGTCTTTAAATGGATGTACCACCCTTCTGGATAGGCTGCTAGAATGTTAGGGAGATTTATTATTTTGACTCCTCTGTAGTCAAATGTGTTTTCTTTTCACCAAATATTATTTGTGTCTTTAAATGGATATACCACCCTTCCGGATAGGCTGCTTGGATATTAGGTCTATTTAACCGTTTTGACTCCTCTGTAGTCAAATATGTTTCCTTTCACCAAATATTATTTGTGTCTTTAAATGGATGTACCACCCTTCTGGATAGGCTGCTAGGATGTTGGGTAAATTTAATTATTTTGACTCCTCTGTAGTTAAACATGTTTCCTTTCACCAAATATTATTTGTGTCTTTAAATGTATGTACCACCCTTCTGGATAGGCTGCTAGGATGTTAGGTAAATTTAGTTATTTTGCCTCCTCTGTAGTCTTTGGAACAGCTGTTGATTTTTTTTTGTCTGTTCTGGGTTTCACAGGCTGTAGGTTTGATTGTTCTTCCTTGCTTTCTGGAGACTTCTGGAACATAGACGATTGAGCAAGATGGGCAGCATGAATATTTATTGTGTTGCAGCTCAGAGAGTATGCCAAGTACGTAGGTGGCTGAAGAACATATGTATAGCCTGAGGCCTCAAGCAGCATGGGTCTAGTCCTGGGTCTAACCCCACAGGAGGAGCCTCCCAGCCTGAGGCCTTCAGGCACAAATCGTGAGTTTGCTGCATGATCACCAAAGTTCAAGCTGTGGCATAGCCGGGGGCCTGCTTCTGAGATCCCTTTCTTTTTTTTGGAGCTAACCAAGCGATCCCTCACCTAAGGACCTGGTCTGCAGGGCACATTGAAGAGTGCCTGGTGGATACTGGAAGGAGGCATCCAGTGATCCTGTGGCATTGTGAGTACTGACCTGAACTCAGGGTTGTAGTGACTGTGTGCTGTTTATATGGGTGGCAGAGCCAGTGGTAATCCTAACTGGGACAGCTTCTAAAAGAGAACTCAGTTCTGCCATCTGTTCTTGTTCCTGCATAGAGACTGTTCATGGAAGCTTAGCAAAGTGGAGTATCTTTTTGCGAAGATTCAGTAAATCTACAGTACCCCATATCAACCTACACTCCATCCAAGTTCTTCAGCAATAAAAGTCCTAAAAGGACATCCCATAGACTGAGTCAAGAGTGAATGAACTGTTGCTGTGTGCCTGGCTGTCTCTGCACTAGTTTGGGAAAGAATCAGTTAAATTACAGCGGGGGTAGCACTACATGTAACTCCCTATCCTCATCATATATTTTATTGTACATACACCCCCCACTCTCAAATATTGTAATCTCCTTTCCCAAGAAACAAATTGTCACAGTCACGTCATACAACTACTGTGACATTGACAGTTTTTCATTTTAGAGATCCATAAAGTGCAATAGCAGTCTCAATGCGTGATCATTGGGGGAGGGGGACTAAGGGAATGCTTCCTCCTGCCTGCAACCAACCTCATCCCTTGCCTTGGACTTCAAAGAATGTTTTTTGTTTTTTTTTTAAATGACAATAGGTACAGATATTTTGACAAATTCTACAGGGGTCAAAGTGCTTTGGCATATATGAGAGGCTGTGAAAAAAATAAGCTGACTTTGCTTTTTTGTGGAAGGTTTACTTTTAAAAAATGAACACTGGCTGAAGTTCTGCTAAAATGCAGTGCAAAGTCCAAACTTTAAGAGGTGTGTATGTCATTTGGAAAGTGTGTCCTACATGTAAATACCCAGTACCCCTAATTAAGATTGCATCTTGCTCAGTTTTTTAACTGAACATTTTTCAGCCTGGTTTCACACTTGTGCGGTGCGGCATATCGCATGTGATTCGCACAGGAACCGCACCGCATTCCTGTGCACATGACACGTGAATTCAGTGCGATGCAATTTGAGCCATACATTTTGTATGGCTCAAATTGCACTGCATCCGCACCAAAAAGAAGCAGGACTCTTTTTTTTGGTCCACACTAGAATTGGATCGCATGGGTATTCACAAATATGCTATAAATCTCTGCACATCACACTGCATTTTGTGGACTGATTTTGGGGTGTTGTTAATTTAACATACACACCTGCAGAGGTTCGCACGAACGGGGTCTAAATGTGATGCGGAATTCGCACAGAAACCGATGAGAATTCCGTACCGTATCAGTGTGAACCCAGGCTAAAAAAGCTTTCCAGTTAAAGAATTGTTCCCTTGTGATCAGACCAGAAGTAGGAGCGGGTACCTGTTAAATTCGAGTACCCGCTCCCCTCCGCCCTCCAAAGGTGCTAATCCTTAATGGGGAGTGGGGGAACAGTCCTTAAAGTGGAACTTCCCCTTTTGGGTGGACCTCTGCTTTAAAGTGTTACTAAACCCACAACAGTAAAATCAGTCTGTATATGCAGTAAAGTGTGCTTGTTATAGTCACTGTGGAACCTAAGGGGTTAATCCTCTACATTGTGTAAAAAGGATGTTCGATCCTGTCCATTCTGATCCTCCCCTTCTTCCACATTCCCCATTTCATTTCCTGATAGAACAGAGCCTCGGGTAAATTCTGCACATGCTCAGTTTGTTGTGTACTGCTAGAAAGTTGTTCTTTTCCTTCGGAGGGTGCATGTGGTCACCACAGGGCCATACAGCGCTGTCCAGACAGAGGATCAGGGGTTATGCAATCTCATAGGGCTGTGAGAGGAGAATGAAGACTCCTCCTACAAGCTTTAACCAGTGCTCAGTTGGACACTGATAGAAGTCACAAGCTATATACCACTGATGAGAAAAGGTATTTATCAGTTTGTATTTACTACAATAATTGCATTTCCATGTTCTGTGCAATGTGGGAGACCAGATAGAGTGAATGCAGGGTCTTGGGTTTAGTTTTTGTGCTTGGAGTTCAACTTTAAAAAAGGTGTATTTTATTTTAAAAGGGTGGCAGGGACCTACATTATTCAACCTTTGCACTTGGGTATCTTCTATTTTACAGCAGCTCCAAATTGCAAGATAAGCAGAGAATTTTGGATTAAGAGTCCAACCATCAAAATAATCTGATGAAATCTTCTCACCTCTATGCTGAAGATTTCTCGTGTTTCCAGGACAGAACTATCCCACTTATTTTACTCTCTTGGGTCCATCACATGACGCCTGAGAAAGGCTGCTGACCCTTATTCTGTGTCACCACTCTTGGTCAATTAGATCGGTGAAGAGGGAAGATTCTCTGCTTTCCTGATGTTTTTCTTACTTAGTGCTCATGACTGCCCACTAATTAGACCAGCTTTAACATCTCTAACATCTCTATTGTAAATTCCCCAAAGATGCCTAGTTTCCTAACATACCCACAACAACTGCACACACAAGCTGATTTAATGAGGCAGTGATAGAATACTGACTGCAGTAGCCTATAGCAACTAGGTGCCTCCTTTTACAATCAATGAAATCAATGAAAAGATTGTTGTAAAACATTTTATTAGGTGTTATGAATAAATATAGAAACAAGATGAGAAAAACACAATAAATCAGACAGAATAGGCAAAGGAACCCTGCAAGCAGGATCTAAGAGAACAGTACAGAATATACACTCACTGACCTCTTTATTAGGTACACCTGTTCAATCGCTTGGTAACACAAACTGCTAATCTGCCAATCACATGGCAGCAACTCAATGTATTTAGGCATCTAGACGGGGTGAAGATAACTTGCTGAAATTCAAACCGAACATCAGAATGAAGGAGAAAGGGGATTTAAGTGGCTTTGAACGTGGCATGGTTGTTGGTTCCAGATAGGCTGGTTTGAGTATTTAACCACTTGCCTACCAGGCACTTATATCCCCTTATTTACCAGGCCAATTTTCAGCTTTCAGCGCTGCCGCACTTTGATTGACAATTGCGCGGTCATGCAACATTGTACCCATATGAAATTTTGATCATTTTTTTCTCACAATAGAGCTTTCTTTTGGTGGTATTTAATCGCCACTGGGCGCTTTACTTTTTGCGCTAAAAATAAAAAATTTGAAAAAATTTGAAAAAAAAAAAAAGTTTCTTTGTTTCTATTATAAAATTTTTCAAACAGGTATTTTTTCTCCTTCACTGATGGGCACTGATAGGCGGCACTGATGGGCACTGATAGGCAGCACTAAAGGGCACTGATAGGCAGTACTAATGAGGTGGCACGAATAGGCGGCACTGATAGACAGCACTAATGAGGTGTCACGGATAGGCGGCACTAATATGCAGCACTGATAGGCGGCACTGATAGGTGACACTGATGATGGGTACTGATAGACGGCACTGACTGGCATCACTGCTGGGCACTGACTGGCGGCACTGACTGGCACAACCCCTGGGCACTGACTGGTGGCACTGACTGGCAGCACTGCTGGGCTGCACTGGTGGGCAGCACTGGTGGGTGGGCACAGGTGGGTGGCACTGGTGGGCACAGGTGGGTGGGCACAGGTGGGTGGCACTGCTGGGCACAGGTGGGTGGCACTGCTAGGCACAGGTAGGTGGCACTTCTGGGCACAGGTAGGTGGCACTGCAGAGTGGCACAGGTGGGTGCACTGCTGGGCACAGGTGGGTGCACTGCTGGGCACAGGTGGGCGGAGCTAGTGGGCGCACTGCTGGGCACAGGTGGGCGGAACTTGCGGGCGGCACTGCTGGGCACCGATCATCAGGGCACTGATCATCAGTGCCCTGATGATCGGTGCCGATCCCCGCTCTGACAACTGCCGGTTCTCGGCAGTACTTTCCTCACGATCTGACAGCGTGAGGAAAGTGCAGCCGAGAACCGGCACTTGCATTTTCCTCTGATCAGCGTGTCATTGGACACCGCTGATCACGTGGTAAAAGGCCGCTGTGATTGGCCTTTTACCACATCACGTGATCAGCTGTGTCCGTAGGACACAGCGATCACGGAGATCGCCGGGTGTGCGCCCCCTGGGGCGCACAGGAGAGCGCGTTCTGGGAGGACGTCATATGACGTCCACCCAGAACTGTCCGGCCGCAGTGCAGCCGTCATTCGGCTATCTGCGGTCGGCTACTAGTTAAAGAACTGCTGATCTACTGGGATTTTCATGCACAATCATATTATCAGATTTACAGAGAATGGTCAGAAAAAGAAAATATCCAGTGAGCTGCAGTTGTGTGGATGCAAATGCCTTGTTGATGTCATAGGTCAGAGGAGAATGGGCAGACTGGTTTGAGATGATAGAAAGGCAACAGTAACTCAAATAACCACTCATTACAACCAAGATATGCAGAATACCATCTCTGAACACACAACCTTGAAGCAGATGGGCTACAGCAGGAAGAAGACCACAACAAGTACCACTCCTGTCAGCTAAAAACAGGAAATAGAGGTTACAATTCACACAGGCTCACCAAATTGGACAATAGAAGATTGAAAAAATGTTGCCTGGTCTGATGAGTCTCGATTTCAGCTGTGACACTCAGATGGTAGGGTCAGTATTTGGTGTAAACAAAATGAAAGCAAGGATCCATACTGCCTTGTATCAGCGGTTCAGGCTGGTGGTGTAATGGTGTGGGGGATATTTTCTTGGCACACTTTGGGCCCCTTAGTACCAATTGAGCATTGTTTAAATGCCATAGCCTACCTGAGTATTGTTGCTGACCATGTCCATCCCTTTATGACTACAGTGTAGTCTGATGGCTACTTCCAGCAGGATAATCACATGATCACAAAGCTCAAATCATCTCAAACTTGTTTTTTTGAACACAACAATGAGTTCACTGTACTCCAATGGACTCCACAATCACCAGATCTTGATCCAGTAGAGCACCTTTGGGATGTGGTGGAACGGGAGATTCACATGACTGATGTGCAGCCGACAAATCTGCGGCAACTGCGTGATACTGTCATGTCGATATGGACCACAATATCTGAGGAATGTTTCCAACACCTTGTTGAATCTATGCCACAAAGAAGTAAGGTATTTCTGAAGGCAAAAGGGGGTCCAATCCGGTACAAGCAAGGTGTACCTAATAATCTGGACAGTGAATGTAAATAAAGGGTACAGTCCTCTACTACATATAACAAGAATATAAATGCCTCATATATCAATTGTAATAAGTAAGCCAACAAAATTTAAGAATATTGAATATGTGTAAGGAAAACTAATATAAAGATAAGGGGGTGCTTATAGTGGTTCTTAAGTTACTTGTTCTGTCCACCCTCACCCCTAGACTTACCTGGCTCCTGTCACTGACCCAGTGCTGTCTTGGTCCAGCACTGCTCCCCTCACTTCCTCACTTCCGAAAAAGTTATAACGAAAAAAACAAATGCATTTGCTTCATTTGGATTTTAGAATTCGGTAGATACATATTGAATTCACTGTGAATAGCTGGTTGTTAAGGAGCAGGCAGCTGCCGAGTCCCTAACGACCATGACTCATATGCTGTCAGTGGGATTCCCCGCTTACAACAGAATGTAAACAATCAAGTACCAGCATTAAAAAAAATAAAAAATAAAACAAACAGCATGGGGTCCCCCCCAATCCATACCAGGTCCTTCAGGTCTAGTATGGATTTCAAGGGGAACGCCATGTCAAAACTAAAAAAAAAGCTTACATCGGCTCATTAGTGCCACCTGTGGCTGCTTCCTGCATATGCACTCCTCATATGTGAAGGGTGGAAATATATGTGCTGCTTGTAATGGCTCCTTTCTGTGTCTAGACAACCTGTCAGCTTTGTAAGAAGACCTCCTTTACCAGTAGGGGCTGTGTGTGTGAAAGGATGGGGTTGTGTACAGGGGGGGAGTGTGTACAGGTGTGAGGGGGAGCTGAGTGTGTACAGGTGTTGAAGGAGGCTGAGTGTGTACAGATGTGGGTGGGCTGAGTTTGTACAGGTGGGGGGCTAAGTGTGTACAGGTGTGGGGGAGCTGAGTGTGTACAGGTGTGGGGGGCTAAGTGTGTACAGGTGTGGGGGAGCTGAGTGTGTACAGGTGTGGGGGGCTGAGTGAGTACAGGTGTGGGGGGCTGAATGTGTACAGGTGTGGGGGGGGGCTGAGTACATACAGGTGTTGAGGGAGGTTGAGTGTGTACAGGTGGGGGGGGGGGGGGGGGTGAGTGTGTACTGGTGTGAGGAGGGCTGAGTGTGTACAGGTGTAAGGAGGGCTGAGTTTGTACAGGTGGTGGTGGGGGGGGAGTGTGTACAGGTGTGTGTGTGTGGGGGGGGGGTGAGTGTGCACAGGTATGAGGGGGAGCTGAGTGTGTGAGTGTGTACAGGTGTGAGGGGGGGCTGAGTGTGTGAGTGTGTACAGGTATGAGGGGGGGGTGAGTGTGTACAGGTGTGAGGAGGGCTGAGTGTGTACAGGTGTGGGGGAGGGGGGGTGAGTGTGCACAGGTATGAGGGGGAGCTGAGTGTGTGAGTGTGTACAGGTGTGGGGGGGGCTGAGTGCGTACAGGTGTGAGGGGGGCTGAGTGCGTACAGGTGTGAGGGGGGCTGAGTGTGGGGGTACAGGTGGGGGGGGGGGGAGAGTGTGTACAGGTGGGGGGGGGGGGAGAGTGTGTACAGGTGGGGGAGGGCTGAATGTGTACAGGTGGGGGGGGGCTGAGTGCGTACAGGTGTGTGTGTGTGTGGGGGGGGGGAGTGTGCACAGGTATGAGAGGGAGCTGAGTGTGTGAGTGTGTACACAGTGTGGGGGGGGGGGGGGAGTGTGTACAGGTGTGGAGCTGAGTGTGTACAGGTGTGTGTGTGTGTGTGGGGGGGTGTGTGTGAGTGTGCACAGGTGTGAGGGGGGAGCTGAGTGTGTGAGTGTGGGGGTGTGTGTGTGTGGGGGGGGGGGGGGTGAGTGTGCACAGGTATGAGGGGGAGCTGAGTGTGTGAGTGAGTACAGGTGTGAGGGGGAGCTGAGTGTGTGAGTATGTACAGGTGTTAGGGGGGGGGGTGTGTACAGGTGGGGGGAGCTGAGTGTGTACAGGTGTGTGTGTGTGTGTGTGGGGGGGGGGGGGGGTGTGTGTGGCACAGGTGGGGGGGGGGGGGGGGGGAGTGGGGGGGGGGGGGGGGAGGAGTGTGTACAGGTGTGGTGTGTGGGGGGGTGGGGGGGGGGGGGGGGGTGGGGGGGGGTATGGGGGGGGGGGAGCTGAGTGTGTGAGTGTGTACAGGTGTGGGGGGGGGGGGGGGGGGGTGGTGTGGGGAGTGGGTGGGGGGGGGTGTGAGGGGGGGGGAGTGTGGTACAGGGGGGGGGGGGGGGGGGTGTACAGGTGGGGGGGGGGGGGTGTGGGGGGTGGGGGGGGGTGGGGGGGGGGGGGGGGGTCAGGGGGGGCTCCAGGGTATGACCAGAGGTATGTGACTGACGCAGGGAAACGCAGGCTTCAGATAAGTTATAAACAATATAATTTATTAAAGGGTAACAATAACAATACAAAGGGTGGCATAAACGCAGTGGGGGGGGTAAAACATAAACAGGTGGGGGGGAACCAAACCAGGGGGGGATAATAGCATACAATGCAAGGGGGGGTCTCCCAGGAGCCTGGTCAATATTCTCTGTCATTAAAAACCAGGGCGAGGGGGGGGGGGGGGGGGGCAGGGAATGGATGGCTTCCCTGTGGGGGGCAGGGGGGGGGGGGGGGGGAGTGTCCAGGGGGTCTGGATCAGACAGGGTCAGGGGGGGAATCAGACAGAGACAGGAACAGGAACAGGGGGGCAGGGGGGATACAGGGGGGGGGAAAGGAGGCAAAGACTGCAGGTCTGGCCATCACTTAAATACACCTGCATAAGCAGTTTCAGGTGTTTTGGCTGGCTGCAGGGTTGAGTCTCTGATTGCTGGGAGGGGGGCTGGCCAGCCCTGGTACTGGGGCCCACAAGGCAGGTGAGTCCCACCATTACTGGCAAGTCCATTCCTAACAGTACCCCCCCTCAAGGAGCGGCCTCAGGACGCTCCAAACAGTCCTAGCTGGGCAAAATGTTCCACCGCCCGGGTTTGGTAACTGGCGGGGGGGGGGGGGACTGGCACATCGGGGGGGGACTCCGGGCAGCGGGGGGGGGGGGGGGGGGGGGGGGGGCGGGGGGGGGGGGCAGGGGGGGGGGAGCAGGACTGGGGGGGGCGGCACATTGAGCAGGACTCCGGGCAGGGGCACATCGGGCAGGACTCCGGGGCGGGCACACCGGGGGGGGACTCCGGGGGGGGCACACCGGGCAGGGACTGGGGGGGGCGGGTGGGCAGGGCACATCGGGGGGGACTCCGGGCAGCGGCACATTGGGGGGGGGGGGGGGGGGGGGGGGGGGGGGGGAGGGGGGCTGGACTCCGGGGGGGGGGGGGAGTCGGGCTGGGGGGGGGGCAGGGGGGGGGCTGGACTGGGGGGGGAGGGGGGGGGGGGGACTCCGGGCAGGGGCACATCGGGCTGGACTCCGGGCAGAGGCACATCGGGGGGTGTGGGGCAGAGGGGGGGGGGCTGGGGGGGGGGGGGGGGGGGGGGCTGGGTGGGCAGGGGGGGGGGGGGGGGGGGGGGCGGGGCAGCAGGGGGGGGGGGGGGGGGGGGAGCAGGGGGCACTGGGGGGGGGGGCGGGGGGACAGGCATCAGGGGGGGGGGGGGGGGGGGGGGGGGCCCCCAGGGGGGGGGGATAGGCATTGGGCCCCCAGGGGGGCGACAGGCATCGCGGGGGGCAGGGCGGGGGGCCGGGGGGGGGGTGGGGGGGGACAGGTCTCGGGCCCCCAGGCGGGGGGGGGGGGGGGGGGGTGGGGGGGGGGGGGTCAGGGGGAGGGGTGGGGGGGGGGGCGGGCGGGGGGCCGGGGGGGGGGGTGGGCGACAAGTCTCGGGGGGGAGCGGGGGGCACCGGGGGG